GCTTGGGGCCTCATCCGGACACTGTGTCCTCGCCAATAGATGGGGAGCTCAAGAAAAACACCCCAGCAACCACATAAATGAAGCAAACCCTGCAGAAATTCCATCTCCAGCTGACTGTGACATGGCCACAGCGAGGTCACAACTGACCGGACCTGCCGGGGACACTAAATCCCCAGAGGCTCACGTGGCTACTTATCACCATCTCCCTTATAATATATTAAGGGAGAGCAAGAGAGAAGGGTACCCAGCAACGCCAACTGGGCACATTCACCTAGGCAGGGAGAGAGTGGTACAGGAAAAGAGACGCACCTGTGTACCTACCTGGGTCAGGTCTCAGAGGTCATATATGTCCCAGAGGGGRCCAAGGGCATGTACACCCTGGGTAGAGATTCCCAGCCCGCCCTGCCAGCTCCCTTCCAGTGAAGATGGCACCACTGGACCTCTAAATGTGACAAGGGATGCTGAGTGCCCTCCATCTGACCCTGGAGGGCTGGGACTTCAGGATAGTAGCCAGAGATCCTTATCCACATAAACAAGAAGCCTGTGTGTCACCATCAGACTGCAGCCACCTGGTGGACAGGGGCCAGGGCATCTGGAGTCACACAGACCTGCCCCTGCCACTTCCTGGCTGGTGACCTTGGGCAGCTGACTTCATCGGGCTGAGTCTCTGAACCRCGAGTCACGGTGATCCTCACCCCAMGGGATGTTTCGAGATCCACACTGACAGCCTCTGACAGCGGATGGAGCGCTCTGCTGAAGGGGGTCCGTGAGATGACAAGCCAGGTCAGGGACACAGCTCACACTGTAGTAGTAAAGGATCCTGGCTGCCCRCCGGCCAACTCGAGAGCAGCCCTGCTGTCCTCCCGGCTCCTCCTGCTCCCCCCCAGGCACGGGCCCACCCAGACCCACTGCTAGAGAAAGTTGCTCCCTTTGCCATCTGAGGCCGGGCCTTGCTGGCCTAGGGTCACCGACATGCCACCAGGAGACGGGGAATGCCAGCTATGTGGCAGGAGTAGGAGGTGCCCTCTGAGCCTGCCCCTCCAGCGGTACTAATGTGCACATGCCCATGCGCACACAGGACAGGGGCGGGGGTGGACACCCACAGAGGGGCCAGTCCAGAGTGGAGCCTGGGCCAAAGGTCTGGGTTCAAGCTGTGGCTGTTTCAACCCAGGCCATCTACTCAACCCCTCTCAGCCTTGTTTCCTGTAAAATGGGAAGAACAGCAGCCATCGTAGGGCAAAAGTGACATTTGCTGAGATTGTGCCCACAGCATGCCTGGTACAGCACTGGCACCTTCCAGTTGCCCCAGAGACACTGGCAGAAACTAAAGTGAAACCAAATAAAGCAAAATACGTATGGCCCCCGTCTCCCTATCCCCACCGGGACCTCTAGGCGCACCCAGATCTTCTTCTACTCTGACTTTTAAAATCTCTTAGAATAAAAATTGCTAAGACTGGGACTTCTAGAAGCTGCCCACACCAGGGAAGGAGAAAGGCCCCAAAGGAAACAAGTGTGTTGGCCCAGAGAGGCCCTTCAGAGCTGCCAGCCCAGGGGGGTTCTGCCCCAAGCAGCAGCCAACTGGTGCCCAAACTGTTGGGAACAGCAGCAGGTCATGCAACCCCCAAGCAGTGACCTGCACTGTTTCCGGCCTCCACAGGCCCCTGGGCTCTGCTCCACCCACCCCCAGAATTCTCTCTAGCACAGTGAAACTGCACCCAAAGGAAGGCTGTCCAGGCTGCCGATTTGGTTCTCTCTAGAATATTCTACTCCAGGATCTTTCACTGAGGCCACAGTGTTGGGTGAATCAGACTCAGACCCTCAAGCAGAACAACTCTCAGGATCTGGTCATCTCCACTGATTTTATTTTATTATTTTATTTTTGGTACCAGGAATTGAACCCTGGGCACTTAGCCACTGAGCCATAGCCCTTTTTTATATTTTATYTAGAGACAGACCTCACTGAGTTGCTTAAAGCCTCACTATATTRCTGAGGCTGGCTTTGAACTTATGATCCTCCTGCCTCAGCCTCCTGAGCCACTGGCGTCACTTACAGGTGATACCGGGCATCTCCACTGATTAATGCAGAGGCACTGGAGGGGGCAGGACCCGCTGCTCCCACTGCAGCCGGGAGAAGCAGCCAGGATGGGCGGTTCAGTATCTCAGGAATATCCCAGGTTTCCACTCCCTAAACCCTGAGGCCCCAAACCGATGACAACAATCCTGACAGCTGTCTGACCTCCCACCTGCACTCTACACAGATTATCTCCCTGAAAAATCACAACCACCATTATCTTCTTGGCAAAGGAGACCCAGAGCGGTGAGGTGGCTTGCCCAAGGTCATGGGACCGGTGCTTGGTAACTTCCTCATGACTCTAAACTAGTGTGGTCACCTTGACCTGCTGTGGTCCRGAAACAGCTCAAGGTTCCAGTTGGATCCTGAAGCTTCCTTCTACTAGGAGCCCACACCCTGAGTCGCAGCCTGGACTCACATAATGGGTCTTGAGACAGCATCTAGGCAGGGACAGGGCACTAGACTGTGRGCCCTACTGCTGGCTCCTGTGATTCCTGGAGTTAGCTGCCTGCCCTCTCTGGGCATTAAGGCCCTGAGATGGTTAGAACACAGCCCTTTCTTGCTCACTTTCTCCAGTCCCAGTGCTGTCGAAATCAGTCCCTGATAGCACAACCCTTCCTCTTTCTAAGCCAAGCYGGTCCCTTTCCTGAAACAACCCCATCCCAGGCACCCTTACCTGCATCCACAGTATGGAATGGGCACAGAACGTCCCATGCACTCAGCTCCTTGGCCATCCAAATGCAGTCACCTAACCCCCATCCCCACCCCCACCCTGCAGCTGCCTCTGGCTCAGGGTCCTGCTGGCTGTGGGTGGATCCAGCCAGCTCAGAACCCCGCCCAGCCAAGTGGCCCAGGGGRCTATATGAGGTCAGGGTCCCAGGCTCCTGTCCAGAGGGTTAGAGTAGCCAAGAACGAGGTCAGCCTGGTGCAGAACAACCTGGGAAGGAGCCCAACAGGCCAGGACCCCTGAGCCTCAGCCTGATGTCCAGACCATCTTTCAGCTAAGATCCGCATGGTACGAACCCTGAGGTGCCCAGAGCCCTCCAGAGAACCCCATAGCTCAGGGGATGACAAGAGACAGGCTGCCTACTTCAAGGCCRTCCAAGAAAAACTAGGAGGAAATCAAGATCAAGATGCTGACAAGAGGAAATCCTTTACCCAGCTCCAGGCCCTGAGCCCACCTCTCCACAGCCTCCACCAGCTTCCACCTAGGACCCTAAGCTGGGCTCAGGCGCTAGACACCCCGTGCCCAAAAGAGCCAGCAGGAGGAATGCCAGGCTTGTTTCAGTGGGCACAACTCTGCCCTCAGTTAGGAAGCAGCCTGGGAGACGTCTTCCTCAGCAAATACCTCTAGTACCCTCCCCGGTGCCTCCCCAGTGCCAGTGCTGGCTCGTGCAGGCTGCACACCTGCCCTCACTGAGTCCTCACAGTGACCCTGCCCCCAGGTGACAGGCCCTTGAAGACCGCCAAGCTGGTACATGTCCGAGGCCAGGTCTTGCAGGATCCTGGAGTGCGTTGCTGTGGTGCCTCTGACCTTGACCAACCCAAGCAGTCCCTGAAAAYCTTTCCTCAAATCCTAGGATTTACAGGATCATTAACCAAACTTATGTAGAGCTCCTGTTGTGTGCCCGGCAGCAGCTGGAAGGATTTCTTTATAGAAATTCACCAAAACCATCAAGAAAAGCAAGTAGTCCCCCCAGTAACCTTTCCTACAAGTTGGAAAGAAGCTGTGTATTGGGGCAGAGTGGTAAGAAGGAGGCCACAGGGAACCGCCAACATTTGACTGAACCAAGAGCCTATGTTGTGTGGTGGAGAGCCTTGGCCTGGGAGTCCCTTCTGGCGCCAAAACCCTGCGCGGGTCCCTGGCGGGCTTGCAGGGAGCCCACATCCAGGCTGGCAGCAGCTCCTGGAAGGGCCCCACTGCCCTAGCGAGGGTAACAGCTTGCAACCCGAGACGCCAGGCCCCGAGCAGGGAGGTGGAGCGGACCTACCTGGAGTCGGAGGCGAAAGGGCTGGGGCCAGAGAGGCAACCGAGGGAAGCCCCGGGGAAGGGGGGGAAGAGGGTAGATTTTGCGGCGACACTGCCTGGCTGAAGGCGGCACCGCAGGGCAATGGGAACCGCCAGGGCCGGAGGCGCGCAGCTGGGGCGACCCGCGCGCTGCCCTGGGCCGCGGCTTACCCGGTTGATCTCCGCCAGCCTCCTCTCCTGCCGGGCTTTAAGCAAGCCGAACGCCTTTCCTCCTAGAGGAGACAAAGAAGCGGCCGGGTAGCGGGGCTCCCGGGCCACGGGTCCCCTCTCGCGCCGGGTTCCCGCGCGCCGMGCGCCCCGCGGTCTGCCCCGCGCGCACAGGTGGGGACGCTGCGCACGGGATGGCTGGGGGACACGGCGCCTACCTTGGAACCTGTTGCTGAGCGCGACCGACATGATGAGCGCCGGGCTCCCGCCGGCTCGGGGCTTGGCGGCCACCGCGGGAGACGAGGAGGAGAGACTGGCGCCTGGTCCGAGCTTCAGCGACTTGTGGCGGCGGGAGCGAGGGGCGGAGGAACCGCGCGGCGGCCGGACACACCCCTCCCTCGGCCCGGGCCCCGCGTCCCCTCCCCTTCCCTCTCCTTATCCCCTCCCCTCCGCTCCCCAGGTCCCCTCCCCTCCACTCCCGGGCCGCGGGCATCAAAGCGGCTATTATGCTGGCTGGGAAGCCCGCCGCCCGCCCCTCTGCTGAAGGACTGGGACAATGCAGTGCGCGGACCGCGCTCAACCCCTCCCTCCCCACCCCTGCCTGGACCTTGGCGGCGAGTCYACCTGGCGATCTGGGTACACACTTCGTGGGACCAGGACCCGAATGAGCATCAAGCGCGGTCTCTCGAGGCACGGATTATGCGTTCAGCCAATGAAGGCTGTCGCATTACTGAAGCTGTTTGCRCAGGAGTGCCACTGTGACACCAAGGCCCTTTAAGTCAATTAGATGAATCTGTGTCTTGTTAATAGAACTATCTTAGGCTCCCACTGTGTGCCAAGCGCTTGGCATTGCACACCAATCATTGCACTCTCAAAGTTCTGTGAAATAGGACCTGGCATGCCCATTTTACGGAAGAGTAGAGTAGGGAAGCCCAAGCCTGGGATGGCAACCATAAAGTAGCCAAAAAACCCAGAGAAGAGGACTCAGGATGCAAGACCTGAGGACTGGGGCTGGGGTGGTGGCTCAGTGGTAAAGCGATGCATGCAGAGGCCCTGGGTCCAATCCTCAGCACCACATACATGTAAAATAAAGATCTTGTGTCCACCTAAAACTTAAAAGAACTGGGGACTTTGTAACTAGAGTGACCATGAAGTCTAGTGTCCAAACCAGAACAGTTTGAGAGTGGAAGGGCCAGTCCTAATCATTATGCTGGGGACACTGGCATGGACAGGCACTACCTACCTGGTCCCAGGAAGACTCCATGATTGGATCAGGGACTCTCCTTCCCCACAGACTTTGTCTCCACCAGAACACTTAGAATGGGGATCCTGGGGGCTGGGGTTATGGCTCAGTGGTAGAGTCTCGCCTCACATATGTGAAGACCTGGTTCGATCCTCAGCACCACATAAAAAAAAAAAAAGAAAGAAAGAAAGGTATCATGTCTGTCAACAATTTAAAAAAATAAGTAAACAAAAAGAATTGGGATCCTGGGACCAGCTGATCATCTTTTTTTTTTTTTTTCCCTGACTGCCAGTGGAGAGAGTAATGGCCAGGCTGTCCCCAGAGTGGGGCTAGGCAGAATGGCATGTGGCCAAAGTCAGCTCAGTCATTCGAGGACCAGTCCCCAGCTCCCCAGCACGGCCAGCTCCAGTTTCTCCTGGTGACTCTCTGTCCATTCACTCCTAGATTTTGGATTTGGACAACCTGTATGGCCATGGTCAAGGGACCTGATCTGCCTGAGCCTCAATCCTCTCTTCAGAGTGGGGAAAACAAGAGCATGTCACTAGGTGGGGGCTGTTAAAACTTTTTCTCGATGGTTTGAGCAGAGCATAAAAGCCTGGAGAGAAGCAGGACTTGGGAGTTATACCCTGGCAGATGGGAGAATGTCTGCCCGGAGGCCAAGGAAGGGAGTGGACTTTGAACAGGGTCTTCATAAATGCAGCTCCTGATCCAGGCTCAGAAAGCCTGGCACCCTGGCTAGTTGGGCTGGTTGACCTGGCTCAGCCATCCGGTGGGGCAGAAGCCACCCCACTGCTCAGCTGCGTGGCTGCATTGCTAGCCAGATGTTCAGCAGCTGCCACATTCCACCCAGCAGTGAGCAGCCCCACCTCTGAGGCCAGAGAGTGGCTCTGCACACATCAAGCATGATCAGTCACTGATCAGTCATAAGCTGTCAGGCCCGCTGTTCATCACCGTGGATGGAGAGGAAGCCTGTTCTCCACCCACCAGGATGCTGGGACTGGATTTTGTTGAGCCTATGCCATGTCAAGAGGCATCAGAAGGTCTGTCAACAGGGAAGCTGTGGGTATGGACCGGAGGGACTTCAGACCCTGTCCCAGAGGTCTTTGAAGAACCCCTATCTCCTCAGCCTTGCTCACATCAGACCCCTATTACCAAATTCCCAGTGGAGCAACCGCCTCCCTCCCAGCCTGGAAATGTACACTCCCAAGCTCAGCTTAGTAGTGCTGACCACATTAACCTTGCCTTGATTTTAAGGATCTCTGTGGAGGAGTGCACCCTCCTCTACATGCCATCCCCGGACCAGTTGTTGGGCCATCTCTCATTGTGTGGATTTGAACCGAGTTAGGATCCTCGTTATCCTGCATGGGGAGGAGGGTTCTGAATCCAGCTGGGTGGATCCCTCCCGGGAAGCTGGAGCCAGGACAGGTGTCCACCTTAGTGTCTCTTGCAAGGATTTGACCTGATGTCGTGCAAACCCAGAGCCCTGGGGTGGGGTTGTCCTCTGCCATCAAGTACAAGAAGAGCTAAGAAAGTTGGTCTGCAAAAGGGAAAGACCTGAGCTAATGAGAGGAGAGAGAGAGAGAGAGAGAGAGAGAGAGAGAGAAGCAGAGGCCGAGATCAAGAGAGGAGGTGGAGAGAGTAGGAGCAAGACCTCCCAACCACGAAGGCTCATTCAGGCTGCCCCCAAGGCAGGGCAGCCTTTCCCACCCCAGGGTTCCAAGAGGTCCTTCCAACAGACTCTCCTTTTCTGCCTAAACCAATTCAGGAAACGCTGTGGGCTTGTGGCGGGGAACCCTGATGGAGTGTGCTCTACCACCCCGTCCTCCACCGGGGTTTCCAGAGGGACCCATGCTGGCCAGGCCCACTCCAACCCCAGACTGCTGCCTTGTCCAGAATGCCCCTCCCTGCCCCTGTGTCCTCACCAGCCTCCCTCCCTGCTCCTTGCTGTGGGACTCAGTTATTGTCGTTTACAGTACTGGGGATGGAACTCGAGGTGCTCTACCACTGAGCTTGCACCCCCAGCCCTTTTTAGTTTTCTTTTTTGGGACAGGGTCTCCCTAAATTGCCCAGGCCAGCCGCAAACTTATTTTTTTTTTATTTTTTTTCATCCTGGGGATTGAACCCAGGAATGCTTTACCACTGAGCAAAGTCCCTAGCCCTTTTTCATTTTGAGATAGGGTCTAAGTGGCTGAGACTGGCCTTGAGCTGTGATCCGCCTGTGTCAGCCTCCGAGTGGCTGAGATCACAGGTGTGTGCCTCTCCACCCAGCAGGACACTATTTTGAGATCACTATTTCCTGCCTCCGTGTCTCCACCTAAACCAAAGGTCCACTGAGGGCCTCTCTATCATCTCTCAAGCTCCCCCAGCCCCTGGACTTTGCCTGACAAGTCCCCCCCCTACCCCCGAGCCAAGAGGAAAGTGGTGCCGTGGTGCTGGGACCTCAGCAAGGCTCCCTGTGTGTGGACAGGAGGGGTCGGCACACGTCCATTCCACCTGCTCGCTGGGCATCTACAGAGGCACTGCCACACAGGTACCCACAGCTCGGCCTGGCTACCCACCAGCAGTAAAGGATCAAAAGACATGTCACCAGCTGGGGAAAGGGTCCTTTATTTCCTCATAAATAGGTCCACGTTGCCACCCGTTTCCCTTGACAGGGTGAGGGGCACGGGAAGCAGAGGGAGGAGGGCACAAGTCACCACTATGCCAAGGCCCTGCGGTCTTCTGGAAGAGGGCCCGGGAGAGGGCGGAGGAATGCCAGGAGGAAATGCCAGGAGGCCGAGGCCCCAGGGCCTGGCCACAGGAGGACTCCCAGGCAGGACAGACTGGAATGGCGGCCAGGGTTCCACACCCGCAGGTGGTAGACAGAGCGGCAGGGCCAGTTTAGGAAGTGTCAATCAAAGTTAACCCGGTCAGCAGGGGCCCAAAGATCATAGGCTGAAAGGGGACCAGGGCCCAGGATACCTGCAGCTGAGTCTGGGGCAGACCCAGACCCTGGAAGGGAAGGGTCCAGAAAAGACAAGGATGTCCCTGTCAGCAGTGGGACTTATCCCGCTGGATCAGCAGACTGTGCTGTGGCCTCAGGGGACCCTGGGCCTGGGGTCTAACCCTTTACAGTCCCTCTCATCTTCCCAGGTGCCASTACTACTTGGGCCCCTGCTGTCTGGAGCTTGGAAGCCTTAGCACTGCAGGGAATTTGCACAAGTTGCCCCGACCTGCAGAGGGTGCCCACACAAGGCGGCTCTGACCGCAACAGAGAACTGGCTATCCTGTGTGCATGCAGCGTGATCGGGCACTAGGAGACTAAATGATTGTGTGTGTGTCTTACACAAATGTGCAGGGCAGACATCCCAGCAGGGCCTTACACACAGGGCCACTTGTGAGTGGGTCCTCACTACTTCCAGGAGGAGGAAGGCCCAGACACACCAGGGAGGGAGGGTGGTATTCACATGGGGCACACGGCCCCGTTTTGGTGGTAGGCCTGTGTGGGCACACCTGTGGAGGGGTGTGTGTGCCCAAGCCAGCAAACAGGAGGTGGGGAGTGTGTGCTGGGACCTAGGGGCCTCACTGCCAACTGGCACAGTGTTCGGGCAGGCTGTGCAGAATGGCCTCCAAGTTCTGCTTGTCTGCGCGGATCTCAGCGAGGTCGTTCTCGAAGCCCTGAATCTGTAGCTGCTGCTGCTCCGACTCCCGCTCCAGCAGCCTCAGTTTCCGCTGCAGGGCTCCCCGCGAGCCCAGCTGTAGCCTCAGACCTTCCAGTGCCCACTGGGTCTCATTCAGGGCCTGGGATGGGGCCTGATGGGCATCCAGTGACCCTGCAGAGAGGCACAGACACCCTCAGCAGGAGCCAGCACCCTGGTGGCCCCAGGAACCTGTTCAGCCCCCATCCCAGGACTCTCCCCAGCTCAAACCTCCCGGAGTCTGACCGCTCACCACCTACCAGGGAAACGCAGGACTGGAGGGCTGTGGGGCCATGAGGACCTGTGGACCTCATGGGCATACTTGGGAACTTCCCCCCTGGTGGCCCTGGATAGTGTTCACTTCTGTGCATGTACTACTACCATTGTTCAAAGAACCAAAGGCCGTGTCGAGT